CATGCCGAGTCCGCACCCAGTACACCATGCCTTTACTGTCTCAAGACTCCAATGTTTGCTGAAAAAATAAACAGAAACGCGAACATAGTGAAAAATTAACGTGGATAATGGGCAAATCAAGAGAAACGTTGAAATGCGGCATTTTGCTAGCCAGAATGATCTTTAAATTATTATGCAGCCGCTTCTTTGGTTATAGATCTATTCATGGTTACTCCAATTAAATTCTTGACACGGAAATTCCGGTGCGGCTATAGCTCCAGCCTAATATAACATAGTTGACGATATTACGTAACATGCACATTAAAGTACACATAGTAAGTGGTTTTAATCAACTTCAGAATAAAATTTCTTTTGAACCAATAATAGGTGCTTTTCTAGAGTGCAACAAATATACGAAAAATATCGTATAATTTGTAAAACGTTCGTCAGTAAATGACCAACAGATCACATTTGTGCAAGAGGGCTTTCATGCCGAACCTTCTCCAGGCCTTCTCCAACTCTTCACGAATTCCTCAGCGTTCAGTGAGGAAGGTAGTTTGGTTGCAGAGTGCACAAGGTGGTAATCTCCACAATCGCAAGTGCTCATCATAAAGCACGTCGTTGGCAGCCGGACAATCCGCATAATTACTGATGCTCGGAATTATGACAGAAAACCTCAGATAGTAATTCTGTTGCTCGTTAAAATGATTAAAAGTATGAGACAGTGTAATTGCTCATTTTCTTCTCTTACGCCCAAACACAGGTGTTACATTAATCTTTATTGACAGCCGACGTTTCGACAATTCACAGCTGTAACTGCCAACCAATCTAGGAAGGGTGCTCGGTGCCCTTCCTAGGTTTTCCGACGACGATAATTGGTTAATTGACAGATTGCTTTTTGTCGGCTTTGCGCTGACCGCGCGGAGTACAAATTAAATATTTTATTAACGGAACGCTAAGACAGCCTAAAGATATTATACAATTAATACAAGAATCACATATTAATAATACAATAGCGAACTGCCGAAACGTCAGCTGTCAAATAAAGATTAATGTAACACCTCGTGGTTGGCTTAAAGAAGAAAATCAGGAATTGTACTGAAGCATGGCGAGCTTAATAGACAGTCGGTCTTGGAAATTGTATGATGAAATGAATCAGATATACTTTACAGGATTCAACGTATACATGTACCTATTTCCATACTTGTTTTTTTTCTCCGCAGCTTGTAAATACATTCTTTCCAGATAGAAAAAGACAGACATCTTAGGAGCTCCATTTCGAAACACAACTCAACAGGAAGCAGAAACCGTGCCAGACTGTTTCTTCATAAGCTCATGACTACATATTTTGCAAACTTTCAGCAACAGAAAAACTTTTTTTTCAATTGATGGTATTTCTCCAAGACACAAATATATAACCGCTGAAGATTCACATAAACTATTGTTTAGATCCATGCACGTCTGAATATACAATGGCCGTTAAGTTTGACTGAAAGCAGCGACGTTGGCAACATAATGGTTGCAAACTGCTCGTACAGCGTTTTAAGTTTTGAATTCAACACACTTACAGGATTTCTGCTACAGCCGAAATCAAAGTGAAACTTTTTGTGATAGTACAGATCAGACAAAAAGCGGAAAACTTGGCTGATCCACAACTAAATTGGAAAAAAATTGGCATTTGAAAAACATAATGTTTGCAACTAATTTTGAACTCTTACTTTGACCTGTACCGACTTGTCCAGTAGTTATAGAAATCACTGGTGTCTTCGAAAAATACTTTGCGTAAGGTAGCATCTCCTTTGGACTTGCAATGGCGAGTAAATTCTTGTGGTGATTTAAAAACGCCGTAGTATAAATCTACATAAAAATTGAAAACAGGATCATTTTTCATCAGCATTGAAACCTACACAGCCAAATCCCATATTTTCGTGTCAGCCCCATCCGACAGTGTGGTGTTTGAATAAAATCGAAACGCGTAGTGAAATCAAAATATGCTGTCCGCGGAGCTCTTGGAAAAGGTTCTGTGCACCGATTTTTCTAACATTGTCCTTTTATTGATCAGTTTTCTCACTTATTACCTCTGCTCATTTGATTTTGAATAAACAATATGATCTCCTCTTTCATCTTTTGATACTTCCACATTTTGGGTTGTTCTTTGATTTCTTCCTCGTTACTGTTATATCCACTCCCTTCTCCATCAGACTGGGTTATGGCAAAACGGCTATGGCATGTTTGAGAACGATCTAAGCTTTGAGAGATACGGTTGTAACATCATCGCTTGCATTCTAAAGTAGATGGACTTTCGCAGAGTGATGCCTCTGTGGATATCTCATGCATTAACCGGCCACGACAGCATCGCACGAGTGACCATCTGCAAAAGTCTTCTGCTGCAATCGCAGAGGTACTTTCTCAAGCCTATCATGGCTGGAGATCAACCTTGAGTGTGCTACTAGAATATAACGCGTCACGTCTACTGGGTGCCTTGCGGCGAAGATTTGCCTGCTTAACTAAAACTCATTTTTGATGCTCTGAAGATTATACTCTCAATTTTGCTCGGTTTTTTGGATTGACAAGGCATATCCTATTGGAACTACTCGACAAAACGTAGACAACGAATGTTGACGTCTACGGAAAACATTACGGAAGTTGTTGCAGTAGTACGAAAGAAGAGCCTAAAATTACTCAGTGTCGCCCTTATACAGGGCAGCGGTTGACCTCACATTGAGAAGTCGACTCACTCAGTTTGGAAAAACGGTGTTGGATGACAATACCTCATGCACCCTATAGCCCTGATATTGCTCCATCGGATTATCATCCCCTCCTCACCCTTAAGCAACGCCACTGGAATAAATAATATCAAAACCTGCAACCATCTCAAGACTTGCCTCCTCTACTTCCTTAATCGCCAGCTCCATTGTTTCTGGAGAGACGACATCCAGTCTTTGCTCATCAAGCGTATCATTGATCATAGTAATTATGCTGCTGATTAATTGATTTGTTAAATAAATAACGATTGGATTGACAAAAGTCGGTGGCGCAACGGTTCAGCACGCGCTCCCGGAAAGAGTGAGATCTGGGTGCGAATCCCGGCTGACGCAAATGTTTATGCACGCACTCCACAGACACTTGGGCACATGAAAAGTGTCGAGATGCGAGAGATTTATGGGAAAACCTAGTGCTTTGTACGTGTGTGTGAAATGTACCTCGTGTGCATAAGGAAAAAACGGTACTTTTTCTATAACAGCCCTGTTCCACCCCATTGGGAAGAACACAGTTTATGCTTTTTTATTAGAGCACTAATAATCATTCGACAGATAAAATCGCAAGAATTTCAATAGTGCTTTTATTTAAAGAAGACCTTTCCAGATACGCTGCAGCAATGAAATTATAATTATGTTTTACACTCGGACATTCTTCGCTGTGAAAAGCTTTCCTTCTACATTATCAATGCTCACTCGATAGCTCAAATCTCGACGGCTCTAGAGGTGCACTTGGTTTCTGCAAAGAATTTTATGATGCGGCAGGCAGCACATTACTCCGGCATGCGGGGTGGGACTCCGCAATATTGGTACCACCACATGCTTTCTGCCTTTTGACAGACATTTAGTAGTTACTTGATACTACGTATTTTAATTGTTGAGGCCTAGTCGCAGAAACTTTGATCAACCGTTCTATGGGCTTGCGTTTTTCATTTCCATTTAATATTACCAAATGAACCCACTACTGAGCCGAAGCTCATGTCTAAGCTCAAGCATGTGCACGAAAATCTCACGCGCGCGTAAGGAAATCTTATAACATCACAGTCATTGTATGATCTGAAATTTACCCTCAAAACGGAAAGAAAATCCTAAATCGAACAAGAAAAAGCGCACACATCATGTGCACTGCTCCGGCAGATCTACCAACCGCGCGGTCGATACACATTTACACACATCCTGAGCGACAGGAAATGCGCGCCAAGTAGAAAACCCAATCTTCGTTCGTTTGCTACAGGGCTCTGAAAAATCTGCTTGAGAAACCAAGTACACCACTAACTAAATTGTCGCAATTAGTGCTTTTGAATTGTACTGAAAGTCTAAAGAAAAGTTTTGTTTAGCAAAAAATGCTCTAGTGTAGGGCATGATTGGTTTTTACTGCTAGTACGCAATGAGAAGGGCATCTTAAGAATGAAGTTTATCTTGAAATTCTCGAGATATAAGCTGCCAAGTGACTATCAAAATTCTAAAAAAAGCCAAAATGTTGTTTTCGGAGTATTTGAACAGGATGCAGATTATGTAATTGTACCAAAAAGCTACCGCATATTTAGCCATAGCGTGATCAGGAAACAATCACTTATTCTTTTGGTTAGGCCATTAGCAGGAAGTTGATATAAACTCTCATCAGCTTCGTAATTTTGACTCAATCAACGAGGATATCCGATTGATCAGTAATGTCAAAGTTAACGGAAAATAGGCCTTCAAATTGTGTTGCAAGCTTTAAACATAATTTTAGGCGATGCTTCACTGTTCTGTGTCACTTCAATGCTCTCTACGCTCGTCGATCCTAATTTTCCCCTTGAAAACGGGTGCCATACAAGTACAGCGTATTGAAAACATCCATAGATAGACCGGGCCCACCATAAAATCTATGCTTGGAAGGCTATCAGTTCAATGTAAAAGTCTAGAAAAACAGCTGTGTGCGCAAACAGACCAGAAGGAAGATAGAGGATCGGAGTCATGACCTGTGGTCAGAACGTTCACCAGCAGCATTCACACCAAAATCAGCGCGCATAGTTGTGAATGCGTTAACATGTCACTGGGGAAAGCAGATGAACGACGAAGCATTATGGCAGAGCATTATAAAATACATAGGACTTTTTAGTCCAAAGGAAAAGACTAAGTAATAGTGATAGCACACGACTCGTTACAATATTCCAACTTTGTCGACTGTCTCCTCGCTCAACCCTACCACGACCATATGCGTCGATCTCAATACGAAAGTCTCTGTACTTTTGGGACTTCAGATCGGTCGTAAAAGGATTGGAGAGATAGTAGGTAACAAAAGGTAACAATCTATTTCTTCACTGACCAGCTCATCAGCGAAGCGGCATATTAGTCTTTGATTCTCATATTGAGTGATGACTGGTTCTACAAAAGTGCATACTACTGATTTGTACTTACCTCCATAAAGCCACCTAAATAGCACTTCCAAAAGTGAAGATAATGCTGTAATGATCATCATCATTACAGTGAATGTTCTACCGATTGTACACAGAAAAGAGCCCTCTAGGACGATGTAAGTTAGATTTTAGTGTAACAGAAAGCGATCTAGTAGCAATAACTTTCCATTTCCTAATCATTCTACTCAATCAGTGCCAAGTTCTAAATTTCATGATCACTTGCTGTTTTGGACTTTTCACTGTTAAATAACAGTTGTCATCTCCATTCAAACAGAGGCTCCAAGAATATATCAACATGAATTTTTGCCCATGGGCGGAACAATTTTGTTTAATATTTAGACTGTTTTTTTCAAGACTGTGAAGAATTTAAAGAGCCAATAACGTCTAACGATATTTATCTATTTTCTTATTATTTGCTGGGGAGAGTGTCATCTTCTGAAATAAAGTAAAGTGCTGGGGTCGGTAGCGTGGTATTTACTAATGAAGTATATGAGGAAGTAAGGAGACAAACAAGCGGCTAGTTATCCCTTTTCCCAAGACTCTCTTGCAACCAACCCACGAATGCTTCAAGGATCGCTTTAGCTTAGCTACCTCCAAGATTGGAGGAACAATCGTTTTGACCAGTATTTTAGATCTTACATGAAAAAGACAAAATTCTCACGTCAGTCGAAACTTTACGCGAGTTGTCTGAAGACCGTTGTGACGATGATGCGAAGAAATGAGCAGAATGCCTGAATGTTGAAGTTCGCAGTAATATATCAGCGCAGTTTCCATAGAATGAAGTAGAAGGATAAAAGGTTATAGCTCTCATAGTTGATCAATGTCTGAGGATGTGCCATGAATTTGTCTCCAATTTCTAGCTTCGTTTGAGGTGATTGAATGCACTTCTGGCTTTCATAACGACTTGCGGAGATCTACTGATATATCATTTCGGTGCTGCTCTACTCCCAAACAAGTCTAATACCAATTAGTCGACGAACGGACTTCTTGGTAAGCCTTGAGCACGGTAGTAAACAGTCGACCACCGATTGATCGATCATGTGTGCTGCAAGGCACCTTTAGCCACTGCGCTATGCGCTCTTGAAAACACATTGATTAAATGCTCAAGTCTGAAGTATCTCAGAGAAATGCAAATAGTTCCGTATCGTGAAGTTTTCACAATCGCACGCTCAACTGTGCAAGACTCATCAAATGATATGATCCGCCAAAAGTTTCCTTTGCCTCTCAAGCAAAATTGCATTGTATTAGTTGTTTGCTGAAGACTCGAAGAGACGATGATTTCTCACCGTCGCAGTCTTTAGTTATTGAAAAATCGCCAACATTAAATTTTGGCAGTCTCTGCTGTGGTGGTTCACCAGAGGATGATAACAAGTCACTTAAAGGAGGTGATGGCGATTCGATTACGACGCGATTCAGAAGCTGTTTTGGCTACACCACGTCAACTCAGCAAACGGATAGACAGTTTATGAGACGGAGACGACTCAGAACTGAACATCTTAGCGTAGACGAAGTGGTTACATCGTTATCTAAAAAGAAATGTTTGCCAGTGGAAGAAAGCTCTATTGCTGAAGAAGCATCACTTGTGAAACTACGGGAACGTTTGAACAGTAGGGTTGATATCGGTGTAATCAGGGAACCAAAGCATGATCTCAACATCTCTGAGCAGTATAACCTTGCTCATTGAATACTTGACAAATCTCTTCTCCTCTATCGTTAGAAAGTAATACAAATATCGTGTTCACTTCATCACTGGCCCTCACACAGCTACAGTCGCACTTGCTCAAAAAACACCCTCATAAAACTTCACCGAAGCGACACTAAAAAATATAATGAATAAAATAAGTAAATGAATTTTCATGTCACATCTGTGCCAAATGATTGCGAAGAACTATTCCTTGTCTAAGCGTTAATGCACTTTCGCCATCCACGTGGCTTTGCTCCATGCAAAATTTGAAATAAAATCGTTTCAAGCGGCTCTGCATAAGATACAGAGAAAAAGGTAAAGCCTCAATCAGCATTCGAGACAATACATGAAATATCCGAAGACCGTCGTCGTGTTAAATAGAAGTAACGAATCGATTGTTAGAAGTGCTTGAATTTCAGCAGTAAATTGTGATGACAGGCACTGTGAAATAAAATAAAGTATTTGCTGCTTAAGAGACGTGATATGCACCATACTGCACGGATAATACCAGTTCATTGATCCAATATGTTTCAACGCGCCGACTATTCACGAAAAGCCTTGAACTTTTTGCACATAGGTTTAGCTACTACACGAGAACTTTCGTTAATGACATCAATGTTGCCGAATGCTGGTCAAGTCGGACTTTTCGAAATCATCACATGGCCTTCTTAGGGTGTCTCTCACAAACTGATATAATGAAAATGAACTCAGGTTCAGCGACAGTTCACGTCAATATACAGCGCTCGAGATGTACGCCTTAGGAGCAAGCTATGCGGAGCGCGTCGCATCAAATTCATGCAATTTTCAATGATTCTCTCGCTTTTCTCGTGACCACCAGCTCACCTGATTGTCGAAAAATCGCAGTCCAGCGGCAAAAACAAACACTGTTTGTTAATTTTCCCGAGAGGGAGTCACTGCACTTCTGGCATTCGATTCGTATTCTTGTACCAGTATCATACATGTTTTCAGACTGAGTGCATATTCATGTGTTCTTGAAGTTTTGAATTTCCGTATGTATGTCGTTGAATGCTGATCGAGTCGATCTATCTAGAAATCTTGTAACAGACGTGCTAGAACGTTTTCAGCTGTCCATCATTGCAACTATAGCCAATCAGACTTGGTAACAGTCCATCAATTTCGAGGAATCGGAGGCTTGATTGCCTTCTCAAACCGTGACCTTGTGCGCACTGAACGACATCATTACTTACTCTACTATCCGCTCTTCTGATATGTATTGTATCTAACGATTCACGAGCTGCCTAGGTCCCCTAGCGGTATGAACCAGACGTTGCTACGTGGCAACACGTAAAATACGTGTCGTCGAGCCTTATGTGCTCCTGGTTTTCAACGACACCACGACATTATGATGACAAGGAATGGGCATCAAAGTGTGTGGACGACGACAAACTTTTTTTTCTATAGATAATCTGCTGATAGTTTATTACATTTCAAATTCAGTGGATCTGAAAGTTGCAGTTGAGTATCAATCAAACAGGATTGGTCACTGTTTACGTAGAGCATAGCCAAGGGATGGAAAACTTATTTCAGAATCAAGATGAGGTTACGACTATCTTGGTGCGGTTACCTTGAATAGGCCGACGAAGTTTTGCTTAACCACTGTTGGTCTTAATTGCACTGAACTGTCGCTTTTCTCAAATGACCCAATGTCACATTAATAAGACGAATTTGAAACAATCTAATTGCATTGAAAGTGGTAAATAGTAAAAACAACATGTAATCGTTCTTTGATTCAATTCTTGGGAGCATACGCACAAGGATACGAGTAATGCAGTGTCAAACTCCCCGTCATGCTACAGTTACAAATTCCGGCATAAACTTACAAAAAGCTTTACTCCCATTTTCATCCGTTTTCTCCGAGCGGACTGATTTACTTGCTCCGCAAGGTGATTTCAGCTTATCAAAAGCTATTATTATTTCGAAATCATAGTATTTCTACTGCTTATTTCGCAGTGTTATGATGTTACTAATATAACTTAGAGAACTGAGTGGTGAGCAAAAACGCGGCCTCGGGCCGGAATCGAGCCCGCGTTTCATCCTATCCGGAGACGCGTGCTCTGACCACTACACCACCAAGACACATTTGCCCGACCACTAATTCTTGAGCATATCTATGTTAGCTATCAGCCACCAACCTCTAACAGGTTTGGTCGGATTTGCGATTTCGCTTTATAAATTCCGTTAAGATTACAGCTAATGTTTCATATAATACTTCGAAATTATAGTATTTCTACTGCTTATTTCGCAGTGTTTGTTTGTTTTTTGCTCACCACTCAATTCTCTAAGTTATATAAGTAAAATCATAACACTGCGTAATAAGCAGTAGAACACTATAATTTCGAAATATTGTATGAAACAATAGCTGTTAGCTTAACGGGATTTATAAAGCGAAATCGCATATCCGACCAAACCTATTGAAAGTTGGTGGCTGATAGCTAACATTAGAGATGTTGAAGAATGAGTGGTCGGGCAAATGTGCCTCGATGGTGTAGTGGTTAGAGCACGTGTCCCCGGATAGGATGAAACGCGGGTTCGATTCCCGCCTGAGGCCGTGTTTTTGCTCACCACTCAACTCTCCAAGCTATCATTATTACTGAAGGTTAATTATCTGAGCAGGTTATCATTTGGCGGAGCTGAAATCGTTGTACACATTTACGAAGGATGTTATCCAAGAGGAAGAAGAGTGATTTATCAACAAGTTCACTAATTTGAGTGATATGCAAAACAGTGTATTTTGAGCGATGCTTTGACCGACGTCTCACTCTTTTCGAGTACTTGTTCTAGCTAATTCACTAGAACGAGCTTCTCTTCTGCTATCACCCTTATGCGTATGAGGCAAAGGTTCATTTTCCGCCAGAGTTTCAAAGTTGAGTATATTACTCATCAATAATGGACTGAAAAAGCCTTTGAAAAGAACTCTGTTGTTCAGAATTCAGTATACCATTGCAATGTGGTAGATAAACTTATGTTAGCAAACATAAGTGTAAGGTGGTCCGATTTCTATTCCAGTTAGTATGTACCCATCGAATCCATTTTCCTTCATACATAACATGAATTGAGATACTCGTTCAGAAAGCGAGAAAAACAGTTGCTCATAGATATGTTTCATGGACATAACCTTTGTATTGGGCATGCTATCGAGTGAGCTGAAAAAGATCTAGGAATGAACACTTTACGACAGAAATGAACTTACCGAGAAGTATGTTCATTTAAATTCAAGAATATGTTCCTTTAAATAGATACAACAGTCCACTCTACCAATCCGCATTCATCACTTCTGCGCCCACTCATGCATTAAAATGATTTTTATAAGGCGACAATGTGTATCTAAACTTGTAGATACAAAGCGATATTGATTCGGAAAATTAGGTGGTTCTTGCTCATTATAAGGCGACAAATGAATATTCGACGCCATTCTCTGTACAGGACCTTTCCTAAGAGTGTTAGTAATCATTTGAAAGCTCAAATCTCTGTCTAGCGCGGCACTTAATCGGTTTTTTCTAATTCAAAAACCCTTGTACAATGCCGTAAACCGAAATAAAATTATGTTTCACGTCAGCGGTGTAAATCAGTTGTTACTTTGGTGGAAGCACGAAAAGCACAAGAACGTTTGAAGAAAATCTTCAAATATCAGAGTCATACGTTCGATCTGGAGTTTCTCCCAAAGCTGAGAAAAATTTCCTAATCGAATGACAAAAATCGCACTTCTCCAAAGCGCTAATTGGTCAATCGTGGCCGGGTGCCGCATCGAATCTGCGGCCACTAGGCCCCACCTTAGATTAGCCTGTAAGCAAGCAAGCCGATTGTTTGGAACTCAATAGTGTCTTTTTTGCGAAGCTGCAGTGAGACGGTTTTTGCAGAAAATAAACACAATGTCGGAATCCTTGAACTCCACGCTGTCGAATGACCATTGATGGCTTAAAAAAGCTCTGTACTGCGAGAAAAATGCTTCTGTAAAACACAGAGGCTTTCCTTCTGCAACAACGTCAAACAAAAAAAGTTTTTTTCTTTTAAAAACCGGTCACGTATCGCGTTAGCCAGAGATTTGAGCTTGCGAATGATGACTAACACTTCTATGAAAAACTCTTGTTTAGCGAATAGGGTCGAATATTCATTTGCCGCTTATAATGGACAGGTGGCGAATTGATATTTATTATGTTGCTTTGTGATGATATGTTTCAACAAAGATAAAAAAATGTTTCGGAAGGTTTGTTGGATGGAGCATCTACTACAACAGAAAGGAATACAGTGAGCAATTTCAAATTTTCCTATGTGATCAGCTAACCATCTCATAGATAGACAAGGAAAAGAATCGTTTGTACTTTGAGTCGTCAATATTTGCTGAGATACACTACAACAGGGAAGTTTATCCCGTAATTCTGATGAAAATACCAAGTTAATGGAAAAAAATGCGTCTCAAATCATGTCAAAACCGCAATTACCTTTGTAATTTACTACAAATGGCGAGTCGTAGACTTTTGATTTTGAGTATTGAAAAATTTCGTGTAGTATGAAGAGGATCACATTCAAACAATTGCTTTTCTCATGAGTTCTGATAAGGTTGATGTAAAAGTAAATGCGGTTCATCATTTTTGAAATAAGGATCCGCCACAAAACTTCTCGAACTGCCGCTTGACTGTACGTTTCTGGACAGTTTTTGAATCAAATGTGATGTTGATTTGCGAGTTATCTATGCCGCTCTAAGACTCGTTTTGACTCGCGGTTCAAAGTCGCATCTTCTTTTGTACCCGACAAATCCTTTACAAAATTCAAAAAATACAAAATAGACTACAAGTTCTGCGTCATTAGGAACAAAGCAAAGCGAGAAATGCGCATTAAATTGATAAATAGCATCACCACGTCTATCCAAAATCATTTTTCACTATCAAGCGACACTTTTCTGCAATGCATGAACTATGATTACTTTTCATCAACCTGATAAAATCATTAGGTTTAAGAAAAAGTTACTTAACGTCGCGAAAAATTCAAATTCTATGTTTGTTTCACACGGAATCGGTTATTGTAAATTCATGGGAATATCTTAGGAATGCTTCCATAAGAAACTCCCTCGACGACACTAGTTATAGATGCGTTCAAATGAAGTACCCGGCATTGATTCGTCGAAAGTGTGCGCTACTTCACTATCAAAATGCCAAACCTTACGCTGCAATTAAAACTAAGGAAAAATTAATGGATTGGAGGCATCAATGGGATTATTCATATCATCATGCCACCGCTAAGAGCGGTTAAAAGGGAGAATTCTGTTTAATCATCATTACCCAGCATCTGTCAGCGTGTCCTGGTTTAGTATCGATGCAGCGTTCCAGGTCCAGGCCGTTGACGGTTGGTTGCTAACGTATAGATGCATTGTAGCGTAGAAAAAGTGGTGAGCAAAACGGGCGCTAGTAGTGCAACGGGTCGGGGCGAGCGCTCCTGGTTGGAGTGAGAAATGGGCTTGAGTCTGGCCTGACGCAGAAGTTTTGCACATCACCACTAGGCATACTCACAACATCATACCACCGTTAAGGGTGGATAATTAGAGAGAATTCCAACATTTTCTGTGTGGACGCCGATGCGAGACATTTGATCAAGTTTAAGAGACATATCAAGAGTTTTTAATTTTAAAGCTTGAGAAACGGTATTTCGAGGCTATTCAGAATCTTGTACATTGTTGGCAAAATATCGTGGGTAATGGCGGTCATTATTTTGAGCAATAATTATGGTTGCTCTGAATTGAGATTTTGTACTAGGTTGGAAGAAAAGTTCTGGGACACTTCACAGAGCATATGCTAACTCCCATGCATATCATAGAAGCATTACACTTTGTTATGTGGGATTTTACCACTGCAGGCCTATATATAATTCTTCCTTGATATTATTTATTTTTACTTTCAACGATACACGTTCAACGATACACTCGAAGTTCATATTTTATTGCGTATTATTGGAGAAAGTTTTCCAAAACGAGCTACAGTCGGTAAAATCAACGAAGTTGAAGGAAAGCCACAGCAACAAATCTGCTGCTTTACGCTGGTTTCAACGCTCTAATGTCGGAGATCTTGACCTCGAAGACAAGCTTCGTTCAGCACGATCAACAAAGTTGAACCACAAAGATTCGATTGCTGCTTTGGTAGATGAACCGTCGTCGAGTGTCCGAGAATTGGCGAGCGAACTTGATTATTCTCATACAACTGAAGGCAATCATAGCAGAAAATCGTAAAAAACGCTTTATTTTGGAGAATACTTGCTATTGTTTCTATTTGGAATTTATGAATGAATTTTCAAATTCTACAGGCGCCCCAGAACTAACTTTCCAACCTAAAATGAACTTTAATTTTTTTAGGGGAATTAAGAAACTTTCTCTTCAACCTAATAATAGCGAAAACAGGAATTATCCTGAAACTAATAATTTGAAGCGAGCACAATTGGCGAACAATAGTGTTATCATTAAAGCGCCAGGTCACATGACTATGCGGCAAGTGTATGTAATTTTTTTACCAGCCAAGAACTCAAATCCAGACGTGCTCGGGATTTCTTAGAAGATGCAATTCTATTCTAGAAGTACCCAGAGGTCTTTGAGAGAAACTAGTCTCCTTTATCATTCATAAGGAATTCTTCGACTATAGCGGAAACTCCAAAATATCGAAAAAAACTGCGGAAATCTCATTGAGTGCGTGTCCACTATCACTTGCACCGTGACTTTTTGTACTCTGTTACTCTGGGAAGACGGCATTTCAATGATTAATCAAAGTGAATCTATATTTTATTATGTCGACGTGAAAATATAACCCACATTCAAAGATAAAATGTGTAATGTGCAAGTTAGTGAGATTAAGATCACAAATATTACAGTGCTTCTGGAGTACTGAAGGTACACAGAATTTTAGAGATATGAGTGCCATAATTTTCACACGACTTTATTAATCTACACGTAATTAGACCCGTTTGACAGGCAGGAATGTATTCTGTTGGAGATCTCGCACTTTTTGGAGAGTTTGGAATTTTTCCCGCAATGAATACGGCACACCTACGTCATTGCTACTGTGATGTCAATATTCTGCATATGAAATGAATGCATG